GAAATGATGGGTGAGTCTCTCAATGAGGGCTGTTGTGTACACAAAAACTCGAACTCAAGATCTTATTTAAGTTAAAACAAGCCGCTTACCATTTTATCTAACCCTTCGTCGGTGGCTTTACCTTTTACCTATAACTTATAATATGGGTTAGAAAATTCCTTATAGTAAGAAAGGGCGCACGATAACGTAGAGAATATATCTGGGCGCTACACGTATAAAGGAATTTTTCTAACCTATAACTTATAATATGGGTTAGAAAATTCCTTTATACGTGTAGCGCCCAGATATATTCTCTACGTTATCGTGCGCCCTTTCTTACGATCAGAGACGAAAGAAAAGAGGAATATCAGATCTGGGAAATGGGATCGACCACTGTGGCTTCCGCCTCTGGAGAAGCAGCAGGTCAGGCCGCCGGTGACAGCAATCCGCCAGCTGCTTCACCTTCACCGAACTCAGGCGACGGCCAGGTAATAATTAATTAACGCATCATTTCTTTATACTTAGCCGTAAAAATTTTAACTTAAAAAAAATAAAAAGATAAAAATAAAGATTAAATAATAAATTTACGTTTTATAAAAGGCTTATGATTTTTCTTTTTCTAACCGTTAAAATTGGATAATATAACCATTACTTGCGAGACTTAATTTATACAGTATATATATGTTAAAAAGGAATTTTAACGAAAAACTAGCAGCTTTGAAACAGAGCTGATTTGTCCTTTTTTTTTTTTGATTTCTCGTTCGGTATTTGGAGTTTCATCTCGACTAATCCAAACTTGATCCGCGTCGCGCATTTGAAAATGGTAAATGAGTCTCCCAGCAGGACCTACTGCATTCACAATGTCTCGAACTCAAGATCTTATTTAAGTTAGTACAAATCGCTTACCACTTCATCCAACCTTCGTTGGTTAGCTGATCTGTCCTTTTATATCGGAACGGTTGGGCAGGCAGTGGGCTAGTTGACTGATAAACAGTGGGCGAGTTGACTGAGTGGATGTAAACTTAAGAAAATTGTGGCGAGTTTTGATAAAAGAAAAAAGATAAATTTAATAAATAATTTATTAATTAT